TCCGCTATCAATGATGACACAAAAGTTTTCCAACAAACCAAATTTTGTAATAAAAGTCAATGAAGTGGTCAATCGATCACAACTTTCCAAGGTACTTAGGCGATAGATAATTAATGCAAATACATACACCGACTCCGGTGAAATCAATGTGCTATCCCATCTTTTAGTGATTCTAGTCAGGTGCAGGGCGACGCAACTTTCCAAGGTACTTAGGTCTCCGATAATTAATGCAAATACATACACCGACTCCGGTGAAATCAATGTGCTATCCCATCTTTTAGTGATTCTAGTCAGGTGCAGGCAGGGCGACGCATTTTATCTGACTGGATCCGGAGATGGAATTAGTATCTTGCTTACTGTTGGACATGGATGATAATTGTGAAAGTACTGGGCTGGATGACACTGACACCCGGACTCATGTACACGGATTTAACTCAAAAATTGAAGAAGAGTTCGCAGCTATGCAACTTCTGATGTCCAAAACCAAGTGGCCGTGGTCTTAGGTTGCTCATTAGCGTGGTAATTATAATCAGACTGACAGTGCTCGAAAACTCTTGTACTCATAGTTACTTGGTAATAACATCAGAGAAACAAAACAAACCGCACGGGTTTTTTGGTGAAAGAAATTACTTAAATAACAATTAAATGGAAGTATTCATTAAAAAGCCGGGTCTTCCTCCTCATCATCCCCGGCCGAGAAGTAATCTCATATGAATACATCAGATAACAAGGCTCAACTGATTCGTCAGCAATGAACACAATAGTAACTACGCTCTACGCTTTACGTTTTTCTGCACAAAGGTAAGGGACATCCTCCTGTTGGGAGTAAATGTCGGCTACCCTGACGTACTGATGAACAGTTCCCTTCCAATCTCCTTACTTATACATGAATTTGACTAGCAGTTGGAGGGAGGATTGCCTACAGGAATGCCAAATTCCGGTGAACTATTAAGATGATAAAATAATAAAGCTCAGCTGTAATACCCTTTTGGTGCGTAGCAGCTACGCCACCCGAAAAAAGCACGGGGGATGGGATGCTCTCAGATTACCAAAGCCCAGACAGGAACAGTCGAGCTGCTGAGGTCGGCTTCGAACCACGGACCTTCTGTTCGGTGAGATTACGCTTTAACCGATGAGCTAGCTCGAGCACAACTTGTACGACTCTGAATAGAATGAAGGAGAATACCGATATCAGATACTCTGATATCCTCAGATATCAATAAATGTCTTCCTGTAATTAAAGTGTTTGGACAAGATGGGATTAGCCTACAAAGCTCTGTTTTCAGATGAAGTCGGGGAGTTTTGGAAACCTGGCGCACTCCAGTTGGAGTTCTGTGTCCGAATGTTGAGTAATCTCCCCGATAAAGAGGCTTCTGCCACCCCTCACATGTTTTACTTCTGAGCTCAAGCAAACGATAGATTCTGAATCAAAATCTTGACATAAATAGGGCAGAGCAGCTAAGTTTTTGAGCAACTGGAGAGTATTTCTTGTAACTTGTTATGGGAAATGGAGAGAATAGGATTTCCAGAATTACAGCAACCCCATTCCCATTAGAAATACACTGTACTATTCATCATCCTCAGCTGTCAACTGTGCATGTGTTCACAGTTCTGGCGGCATTAATTCCATTCGCCGGTGATCTGATAAACGGGGCTAAATAGGTACACACTAATGAGAGCAGCTGAAAATCCTGACCGAATCCAATGGTATTAATGCGTTGTTGATTGGTCGAATGATTAGATGAGACCCTGCACTGAGGGTAACAGCTTGGATGCAGGTACCCCGGTGAGCTCAGGACCGGGCCATGCCTGTCCATATCAGATTGATGTGTCCTAACTCGACTCTCTATCCGGAGAGGTGGAGGCGACTGACGCCGCCAACTTTAATCAAAATGGTCTTCAAATTCACAGCCAAAGTATTTCTTTATCGCCTTTTGCTTGTTCTCACTTTCCACATGGTCTTTCGAAGAGGCCTGTTCGAGGAAGTCAACTCACCGGTATACGAATTACGCGACCAGGTCAGTACAACATACAGAGTGCCACCAATTTATCCTCAAGAACTATTCCGTGTGGTTAACAATTACTAATCCAATGTTCCTTACTCCAGGGCCGAAACGGTGACTTTTTAGAAAGCAGCCAGTCCTAACAGGGCTTTGAAATGAGAAAACATTCCAAGACATATTTGTTAACTACGCAATATTGGGGGACGGTAACAACTGATCAGGGGAAACTGAAAATGATTGAGGGTAGAAAACGCTAAGCTGAACTGTCATCAGATCACTGAGTGAGAACATTTTGATACACCAACCTCGTTCTTTTCGCTTAGATTACTTTTCAAAGAATCACCAGAATTCATTGGCTTGTACGGAAGTAATAAGAACTTCCATTTTCAAGACGCTAACGGTGTAGTATTCCTGGAGTTATTGTATACCGTATGCAATCCCATCTCTCGCCTCCTCCCAACCGAAGCAATTTTAGAACCAGCGAAAACCGCGAACCAAACGCCCGCAAGTTTCACCTTGCTTCTGGAAACAACTCACCACCCGATACACGAGGGAGCGTAATGGCTGCAATCTTGGGCAAGCATGTTGAAGACCAATTGACCATTTCATCCCCGACTGCTGGTCGACATGTCCCCTACTCAGCGGCGCCAAATGCTGCACGGGAAGGTGTGGCCATGGCAGAACGACTAGGCTTACCTCGCCCAGGTCCGCGTTACGCCGGTGACCCTGAGGAAATCAGCCGCTCTACTCAAGATGCCGTTACATCGTTGGACATGAGACAATCTGCATTGAAGCCGAAAGTCAAACCAGAAGTAATTGATCCTTCCATAGTTTACTGAATATGCATTTCGGAGAATGCAGCTAGCTGACTTACAATCACCTCAAAAATTATCTGCTGGAAATAAAGTTGCAGCGTCCGTATTTCCCTGCCACACAGCCATATCAATATCAAAAGTAGCAAAGGGGTCTGACAACCCTGGTAAATCAGGTTTCCAGTCCGTAAGTGAAATTCAGTCTTTTTTTGGAATCGTCAGCAATAAGCGTCTCACAATTTCTCCGGAGATTCGAAACGATACAATTCCACGGCCCACGCGACTCTCCCTATGTTTAGCTGGACACACTGAACGATATGCGTAATTTGCTGGAAAATTGGTAGCTCGGGTGTATTAGTTGGTAATTGATCAGGTGGCTGTTGATCTGTTTACCGAGCTTGGCAATAAATTTGCACAAGCTTCGGCTAACCTGTGTCAATTGCCTTCATGCGGCCATTCCATGTTCAGATGATATGATTGAGTGTTGGGGGTGTGTGCCTCCAGTATGTTTGTGGTAGGCTAACTCCAGGCCCTCCTCTCTGTCCCGGTTCTTTATTTCTTCTATTATAAGGCTTCACTCAGATAAACTGACATGGTGGTAGGGCAGTGATGCGTCAGTGTCTTTATCTAATGTTACTGTGAGGATGATGATGAGTCTTTATGAGCTACGAGTGGCCAAACAAGGCATATTTTCTAATCCCATAAAAACCCGCTCACACCACGCAAACTTTCGTAGACCTTACATCCCGGTGGCAATCCCTCAGGGAAGGATCAAGCTAGATCGCGAGATATCACTTCTTCTCAGAGTGCCCAGTATTGAAAAGATTTTTACGTCCAGAATCTAGACTTCCATTCTATAAATAGGATCAACCTGCGGTAAGAATGGCGTACGCTCTTTTCGGCCTTATTGCGAATCATCGGGAGTAAGTATGGGATGAAAATCGAAGGGGAACAACCCGGAAACGGCAACCTCGTGAGTAGTAGCATTCAATTCACTTTACACTGTAAACCTTGCGTCGACCAGATCGAAGGACGACACAGGCTGTCGCAACCACATTTCATCATTTGACCCATTCGATCTAACCCTCAGCGGTCATTGCGGTGGGATAGTATACCCATCATGCCGTTTGCTGATATTTTGTCGTACATACTGCCTGTGTGTTACATCGCCTGGAGACCGCTTAGTTGAAATGGCTCATACATAAGGCACACTTTTGCTCTTGCCCCTCAAGATGTTCTTGCTATAGTACCGCAGGATTTAGGGTCGAATTTGTCGCGAATCTTCTCGAACCCATTGTCCACATGTGGCTCGGCAACAAGTAGGCTCCTGTAAAAATTAATTTGCAAGTGAGGAGAGCATCGGAACGAAAGTAGAGTAGCGCATATATAACGTGCAGTAAATTGTTATCCCGGAAATCGCTGTAAACTACAGGTCATTGTTTGGGGTTGGTACAAAACTTACGTGCTAGGAACTAAAAGGCAGATTACCAGTTCATCATCAAAAATGTTCGAATAGTCGTATGGAAGAGTATGAAGAAAAAATTCGCAGTAGCACCCAAATGTTACCACTCCATAATGTTGCATGCTTGCTGGTTTGGTAAAACAATCCCACGCAGACTGACGGACTTGGGTTAATAAGTCGTCCTTGATGTTCTTTCCTTGTGAATCGAGTTGATCAACCTGCAGTTGTCAAAATACAAACTAGGCGGGTGCACCGCTAGCCGTGTCCTCTTAAAGGTGGACAAAACGGGAAGCCATGGGAAACATGGAAAGCGGTAAATTGCAAGTGAAACGGCCAACGACATTGAAAGTTGTGGATTCTAGAAGATACACGCCTACCACGAATGGGTATCCCATTCGACGGAGTGGGCAAGTGTAGTTTAAATAACGCAGGCGAGTATAGGTGCCGCCGATTCTAGTTGTTTCACAGTGAATCATTCTTTACAGCTCTGTAACAAACACACTGTAGACAAAAGAACTGAGGAACGTATGGTTTCAGTGATTTTCCCTGGTTATGGAGGCAAATATACAAAACCTGCACTGGATAGATAAACCCGAATAGATATTATGAGATAACAAAGGGGATGTACGACCAACACACTCTCCACCAAAGCCGATGGTGTCGGCTTGCTATGTTATAGTGAAGGCTTTACCAGATTTTCACAAAGCACTCTTAACAAGCGGTGTTGAAGAGAATTGGGATAGAAGTACAGTTGTGGACTGGTCGAATTGGACCAATGAATCTATTCATATCTAAGCACTTTCGAATAAGTAAGCTTTGAGGGCCTATTAATCTAGTGGAAAGCAACAGGCTCCGAGAAGAGAGTAAACAAAATAAAAATGATCTATCCGTAATGGAAGGAGATATTGGCTGCGCTGGTCAGCTAGTTGATCGAATTTCTCTCGGATATATCAACTGGGATATGCGGTCACATCCGGTTCAGAGCCAGGTGATGCGAGGGCATCTTGTATATGTAGCACAAACGCCGTTATTTTTAATGTATCGGCCTATTGTTAGGTCGGTTAGTTTATTGATTGTTCATCACACGGTTGTCAATCTGTTCAGCGAGCCCTGTATTCTTTCTCCTAATAGCAAGCGACTGCAAGTGGCTTGATTCGACAACGGATACTTGAAGATTTGAGACCTCGTTTGATATTTTATGTTGTAAGGCTTGCTGTTTTAAGTTAAAAACATGTAAATGACAGGTGTACGGGACGGAATTTCAACCAAAAGTAAGCGAGACAGTATACTCGACGATGGATGTCACCGAGAAATCTGGGAACTGAGAAAATCGCATGCAGATTCCATTCGCATTCCAACTCTTAGTGAGGATTTTCCCAAATCGTCTGACGTCTATTCAGATAGTAAGGCTCAGCTAGAAGAGATAACAAACTAACGGAACGAAAAGAAGCGAGAAGCATCCCCAGAGGAGCTGGAAGAGATTAGCCTTCTAGGAGGAAATTCTTCTAGCCGAACGTTTTCTACACTGTTGCGAATAGCTCGGTCTGTTGGACAGCTTCATTCAACATGCTGGTGTATGGATCATTGAACGACTGTCGGGGCGAAAAGTTCTCATGGGTAAAATCAACGAACGAACAGTGAATGAAAGCGCACAAAAGCCGATGGCTGACAACCCAATTATTCAACTGAATACTAGCAGCACAGTGAGATCAATTTAATTACTTTCCGCCGCATGCGTAAACAGATGAATCTCACGAAAAAACAGATGTTTGTGTGAGATCGTAGCATCTGAGTCAAACCGATGAATTTTTATGGAGCGAGTGTTTTGGGAGAACACGGATCGTCAGCAAATCATCATCACCACCATTGTCAACGGTAATAACCGCGTACTCGTCGTACAGTGGTTGTAGCTGCCGTAGTTTCGTTCACCGATGATTTGGGGGGGGG